CTCTCTCTCTCTCTCTCTCTCTCTCTCTCTCCCCCTTTGCCTGTAGTTTTAAGTCCCTAGCAAAACCAATATACAAAAAAAGAAGCACATTTGAAGCATTTAAAAATATCTAGGACATGATTTATATTTTTGGATCAACACAATAATCCTCTTCATATAACAAAAGACAAAATATAACAAATGCAAAAGTCAATATTTAAATTAATATAAAATAGTGTTTGATTTAAATTATTGCTCACTCAGGGAATAGAACAAATATTCCCTGGTTAGGGATGCTCACATCAGAAATGGTATCATATCAGAATCTAGTGTATATAAAATTCTGGGGTGCAAATATAATGAAATTTATAATAAACACAGAATGTATTCCTTTGCATGTTAGCCACCATTTAGCTTTACATGATGAAGAATGGAAAAGACATGGTTTAATTACATGTTCAGTAGTGAACAGTGTAGCACATACAAAGCATCCCTGATAGCATCAATTATTGTAAAGTTTTCTATGAAATACTAAGGTATGCTTATAGAATCATTACCACACAAGAGAGAGAAGAGAAACTAAAGCTCCAGGTTTAAACAACAAAAATAATATAAAAGACTACTATATAAAACATTTAGACAGTGCTAAGTAGAACAAATTAAACACTACATTAAGTGTTGTCATTAGTCTTCCTCTTTAAAAATCAGTTCCTGGGCTTTTAGATGTATTTCCTTATAAAAATAATGAACATCTACCCTTTTCTCAGTCACGCATTTGGACTATCTCCACACCACTTGGTAACAGTCCCATCAGACATCAGAGTTCTCCTGAGGCATCTCCAAGGAGCCCTGTCTGCACATTCATGGTGGGGGCCACTGGGTGCTGGGTTTGACCTACATCAGGACAGCCAGCACTACTTTCTTGATGGTAGATGCGGCTCTCTCCAGCTCTTCCTCTGTCTCTCCCACTGTGACCACAACTCTGATGCTCAGAGAGGGGACTGGACGTACTTCTCTTCTTTCTTCAAGTAGTTTGCCTGATTTAATGCAATACTTTTGTTCATGCACTGATTTATGATTTCCTGAAGTAGTTTCACATCTGTCCCTCAAGACCCAGTACTGTCTTTCAGTTGTAGGTGAAATGCTGGAGAAAACGATGCTCCCACCACTTTCAATCCAGAAATGCCCTGTAAAGCTTTATGAATTTGTTGGCACTTTTTCTTCAATACTGCAAAAATATCTGGATTCTCTTCCATGATGTTGAGGGCCTCAATGGCAGCAGCAGCTCACAGGGGCGGTAAAGAAGGTGAAAAGCAGTACCCCTGGCCAGAGAGCCGCTGGTGGCAGCTTATGAAAGACCTGCCACAGCAGAAACCACCAATGGAAGCAAGTGAGTTCTCCATACTGGCACTGATCAGATCAATATCATCAATACTGATACCATAGTGCTCAGTGACTCCTCAGCCCTGCTCCCCAAGAACTCCAAGTGAAGGGCTTTCCTCCAGAAAGACTCTGGCTTTGTACTTGTATTTTAACTTACCCTGCTATAATGAATCTGTAATCTCAAGCCAACCACCATCTCTCTTCCCAGTGTCAGCAGACCTATTCACATGCAGGATGGACACACATTACATGACACACGTGTTCTCAGGGTCTTTTCATGGACATTTTTATTGCCATATTTTTCAGTTTTGTGTCTTTTGCTGGCAGCTGCTACTTAAGATGAACCCAGTGGAAGTGCTGTCTAGGCTTCTCAGTGAAGGAAGGATGAGCCAGGCCTCGTGAGCAAATGTTGAAGAAGCTTCATTTGGGCGGGAGTTTGGTGTGAATGAATCATCAATACACACCAAATAAAATCTCAGCTCTGGAAAAGGACAAATGTGTCTGGTATTCATATACAATCCTACTATGATGAACCACAGAGTCACACGAGCCGTGTGAGGGTTCTTTTGATCTTCAATCTTTTGTTCTTTTAGCAGTTGCTCCAGGTCAGCCACATCATTACAACTAAATAACTTAATGTCACTACCAACATGAGGCCTGTAATTCTTTCTGAATAACGAACAGGCTGGTCTATCTACAAATATGATATCTCCTCTTTTAGAGTAAGCAGGAATTACATTGGCTATGGGGGGAAATCCATATGAGTATATAATGGCTTCTTCAGTTTTCAAAAATGTTGCTAGATGCTCTTCCAAATCCAAATAAACATCAAATGTGCCACAAAAGCCCCTAGGTACACAGCTCCCCATACCATACTTCTTTAGAGATGTTAAAGCTGCTGCCTTAACCCAAGGGTTATCCAGCAATCCAAGAAAATTAAAGCAGGCAAAGTTCATACATTCGTCCCCATTCACCACAACCTGGTGGCTTGGAGGGAGTTTGTGGAGGTGTCAGTCCATGATTGGCTGGCTCTGAGGCTGGGATGGCAAACAGGCCTCACAGAGGAGAAACAATGTGGTGTGTGCATAAGGCAGCAGAGGTGATAAGAGGTATAGCTTGAGCTTTTAAGTGAAGGTCCATGATCTTTTCTAAATTTTGTGTACGGCTTGAAGTAGGAGTCAGGATCAATTTTTTCATGCCTATCTCTAGTTAGTCTACTTTTAAAAAAAACTTTCTCCTAGATTGTTTTTGTACCTTTCTTTGAAAAACTAACAAACATTTAAGTGTGTGTATATTTCTGTACTTTCTTCTACTGAAATATTTGATTGTGATAATGCCACAGTTTTGATGACTGTAGATTTATAGTAAGTCTTTAAGTATAAAATGTTAATCCTTTTGTTTTGTTCATTTATTAGATTGTTTTCCATGCTATGATTGATGAAAATTATGATATTTATTATTTACTTATTAATTATCTCTCTGTACTAGAATATAAATCTAATGTAGTAAAGCTATCAGTTTGTTAAATTCCATACAGTGTGGTCTGTGCCTAGAACAATGCTGGAATATGGTTAAGTGTGAATAAATAAAAATATATTAAATGGAGAGCCTACCATGATCATTTAATCAGCTTAAGACTTACAGCCACACTTTATTTTGATGGGATTTAGACCCTAGATAGTACTCTCTGGTATGATCACAGATCACTACTGTAGTTTCACTTTCAGATATTTTATTCTATTTTTAAGTTTTTATTGTTAGTGGTACAAATTTTATTGTTTGTAGTACTTAATGATTACATTTATTGTGGAAAGTTGGTAAGTGTACATAACACGTCTTAATTCTTTTTAAGTCCTCTTTTCTCTTTTCTCTTCCCCTCTTCTTTCCATCTTTTGAACCTTTCCCATTTGCAAAAGATCTATCTCCCTGTTTCCAATCATCAAACTTTTACTTTGGATTTTTAAAAATATCAAATATATCCTCAACGTGTGAAAGTAAACCAATGTTACTGATACTTAAACTGATGTCCCATAATATCTAAAATTCACGATACAAAAATAATTGCAAATTAATTTTAGAGGATAAAATCATCTTTGATGGTTAACTGCAGAAAAACAGACTAATCTGAGTACTTAAAATTTTACTAACATTCTTTTAAGAAAAATGGTTTGACTAGTATTCTAATCCGGTCCTAAGAAAAAATAAACAGCTTTCACAAAGCAATATTTGTATGACCTTAAAAATACTGAACTAAATATTTTTAAAGCTACACACAATTTTTATGTTCATAGGCTACAGAAACATCATAGCCCGGAGTGGCGAGGATGGACCTTACCAAATTGTTCAGATGCAGCGGGGTGAAATGATATATTTGAAAATCAGGACTAGTGCTGAAGATGAAATGAGAATGAAGAGAAAGTTCTATTGTTCTTCAGATCTAACTGGAACAAAGAAATCAGAAAGAGAAAGGAAAAAGAGAAAAGAAGGAAGAGAGGAACGGAGGGAAGGAGAGAGGACTGCAACTTTGGAAAAAGCTTTGAGGAGATACGGCATTACGTTTCTTTGTCCAGATAAAAGACAGTACTGTATTATTGTTAGGACATGGAATTTGGATCCAGACTATCGAGAGTTAAACACTGTTTCCAGATTGGATTGTAAACTTTGCCCTTTTTTGGTAAGTTAATGAGCAGGTTCCTAGACACAGAAGCATACCAACACATAGTCATACTGCAATATTAGGAGTCAACTTACTAAAACTTTAATACTACTGAAAGCTGACTATTTGTACCTGAGGACCCCAAAACTGCTGATGTTAATTTCTGATCTTCCTACATCTATATGAACATTTCCCCTCCTTTCATCTTCCTCCTGTTTTCTTTATGAAGTGAAAGAAATCCATTTACTTACCTTTAGGAACACCTGAATGGTTTTCTTCTTTGACAGCACATTATCATTAAATGCCAGCTCTGCTCTCCTCTCCAGCCAACAAATCAGAGGAAAGGGGGTAGATTTTTTTTTAACATCTGGGGATTTTTTTAAGGAAAAGATCTAATTTTTAAAAAGCTGTCACAAAATAATTTCCACAGCTTCTCCAGTGTAGATTTTCAGGTACAGAACTCTACAGAGGAAACAGACTAAAATTACCACGTGAATATTGTATCATGTCAGTTGGAGATGGCTGCTGTTACTTGGGCTCTGAGTTAGCACACATTTCTCCCCATACCTGTATCATGTCCCTTTTTATCTGTTTTCCTTGCTGACTGATTCTGACACAATATCAAATACCAAATAAAAGATCCTTGACTGCTAAAGGCAAAGTGCATTCTGACTTCACTTAGCAGGAGAAATCCAGACCCCCATAAAGATTTAAAATATATACCTGTATTTATCCGGATGACTGCTAGCCATTTCTGTTTTTCATTAGTCCAATCCACACATTTACTCGGGGAAGTGCATGTTGCAAGGTTACTGCAATTTCGAAAGTGAAACTAAAGTTAATTTAAAAGAACAGAAGGGCTCTTGTTATTTGTTGTACTCAAATATGGGAAGGGGGATGGGAGATAAGAGAAAACAAAACAAAATGATCCTAGTGAGGTGCTTTAATTGCTTCTTGAAAATGTCTCTTTTAAGGTTGTTTTAGGTACAGTGGCCTGGACTTCATTTAAGTGGTCACAGATTTAAACAGGAAAAGAGTTGAAAGGATAGGAACTTGCTGTTTAGTGTGGGTGAGGCTGACATTCTGGAAGTTAATGAATGCTGTGGTTCTGTGAGAGTAAATTCTGCCTCTGCATACTGCTGCAAAACTGTCAGATTCCAGTAGTATATTGTCAGAGGGACAGAGAAAACTTTGACTCCCTACTTGAAGTTAAAGCAATTTTCCATTGATTATTATGTTTTATCTTCCAAACCATTAAAATATGCAAGGCACAATTTAACCTCTTGATCACAAAAGAAACCAAGCTTCACAACAAAGAGCAGAGAAAGCTGAGCTAGTCCTAACTCCTGCCAGTCCACTCTTCTACCTCAGCACCTGCTAGGGATCTAATAGGTGTACCAGAGAAAGTTCAAGTTAACTATTACCTTCTCAATTAGCTTTAATGGCTTCAATTAGTTAAAGGAACAGGCCTGCAAGAAACTTTCAGTATTTTATTACCGATGTACAGTGATATAAGCAGATCATTACATAGTAAAATAAAAGTTTGAAGGAAGTGTTGAGAGCACCTAACCCAACTTCCCTGTTTTAGAAATGAGAGAAAAGAAACCTAAAGCAGTGCATTATTTGCCTAAGTACATATCAAGTTAACACAGTGATTCTTGGGACAAACAAGCACTAAAACAGCCAGGGAAATATGAAAACTTGTCACTAGTTTGAATTAATTGCAGAATAGACAGCAAGAAGTAAATTTATTTCACGATATAAATTGCTCTCTACTGGCCCCATTCTTAGTAAACCACCCTGTGGTTATTACGCTTATGGTTATATTTTTTTAAAAAAAGGAATTGGAGTTGTAATATAGTACAATAATACTGTAGGATATAGTACTGTACTATAGTATAATATGCAGCCATCCTGAGTAAACAATTATTCACCCACTGGGGTGTGCAAGAAAACAAGTAATGCTTACTACAATTCAGAAAATTTTAACTCTGTGAACTCTTTGAAGGTAGCACAAAGTATGTTCGTTTTATTGTAACTCCAATAACCTTCCTATAGTAGACTGTTGCCATGTAGCTTTTCAATATTCAACCATTATGTGGTCTTCTACACTAGCTCTGGGCCTGGCCATGTAGCCAACCTTGCCCATTGAGATAGCAGAAAGCATGACCAAAGCTTGATTACCAACAGTGATCACCAAGGCCTGATTAAGTACTTGCACACTGGGACTTATTTCCTTAGACACCGCAGCCCAGCTCCCAGCATTCTTTCTGTGACCCCTGACTACGTACTGAGAAGCCCAGCTTAGCTGTACAGAGGATACATAGAAGAACCTGAGACTCTAGCTAACAGGCCTAACTATATACCCAGAAGACAGTCAGAATCAACTTGCTTGACATCTGAGTAAGCCACTTGGAACATATCTCCCACTCGCAGCTGAATTACTACAGCTAAGGTCACAAAAAACAGGAGTAAACTGACCTCAACAATCTTGTAGATTCCAGAATAGTCAATAAATAAGTGTTGCTGTCTTAAATAAAAAATTGGAGCGGTGTATTATGCCTCATTAGACAATGAAACACATTTCCTTAATAATGTTAGGTATCTATCTCTTATGCCTTATGATTTCTTATACCGCATATTAATTTTTACATAAAATTGATTAAGGAATGGATTTCAATAAATAAGTTTTACTGATGGTCTCTTAATGCAATAATTGTTATAAACTTAACACCAGTTCACACTCAGATGTGACAAGTTCTCTACTCCTGCTCTCTTTTTTTTTTTTTTCCTTTTTATTGAGTTTATTGGTACAATCTAGGTATACAAATAGAGTTACATTCATCATTGGGATTCTGTACCTTTACATAATAGGTCTTGATTCTCATTTTTCCCCTTGTCCCTGCCCTCCCTTCACCCCCTCCTCCCCTCCCCATTTACAAACACTTTATTTCCATTTTTTCAGTTTCTCATATTTTTTTCCTCTCCCAAAGGTCCTGCTCTCTTTTAAATACACTATAGATTATTTTCTCTCCACTGAACATTTCTTAGTTATGTACTAAGTTATGTAGACATTAAGGTGATGAGTGCTACAGGGGAAATGCTTATTTTTCCCTTTTTTTAAGACAAGCAAATCTGTGAAATATGCTCAAAAGTTCAAAATAACAAATACAGGGTTGACGCATATAAATATAGCATTATATAGAGCAGCCAATCTCAAAGTAAATGTGAAGCTTATTATTCCCAACATACCTCAGAATTCCTAACAGAATTATAGAAGCCACATTTTCTTAAATTTATTAAATCTATTCTAAATAACTCTAGCAAGTTTTCTCCTTCAACCTAAGAAAGTTCACTTTTATGAGAACTTAGTAAGATAATAAATACAAAAATCTGGGAAAATGAATAGAGAAAATAGAAAATTACAGAGCCTACAAGTGATTAAGCAAATAAGAATTCCTCATTTACTTTTTATTTATTTATTAAACTACAGATGCAGTACGCTTCTCTGCTTCCTCCTAATAATTATTATTTAAAAACTAGTTATTGCATTTAAATGATATTTATAATCATTTTAATTATAGGCAAATAAGTTTTTATAATCAAGTATAATGTATAGCTGGTAGGAGGTCTGGTTGCTTCATATAAGATTCATAAGGGCAAATTTGACTATCATTTTTATTATTGTCAGTATCAGCATCTAAGGCTAGACTATTAGTATTAGCATCAGTCTAATACTCAAATACTGAAAGCTTTCTTTTTGTTTATTTGGTTTTGTTTTTTTGTGGTTTTTGTTTTTGTTTTTTGAGACAGAGTTTTGTTTTGTAGTGCAGGCTGACCTCAGACTCACTATATAGCCAAGGCCAGCCTCGAACTCCTGGCAATCTGCCTGCCTTAGCCTTCGGAGTGCTGAGATTACAGGTGTGAACCACCACATCACACTTCTACTGAAAGTTTTGTGGAGCTATCCTTATAATCTTCCATAAAGATTATATTAGGAATGAAGGTTGCATAACTGCAACTTTTGACCACTGTTGAAATGATGGGACAAACAGTAACAATACATCTATGCGAAAAGTGAGGTTAATATTGAACAGTAATTACACATTGATTACACATTGCCCAACTTGGTGAGGACAGAGTGAAAACAGAACTGATTTCTGAGAAAAAGCCAAACTTATGCCAGCAGTGAGCATGCAATTCAGTGGCCATTGAGCTATTTATTGTTTCATAGTCAATATCATGCATAGGTGTAATTTAAATGGGTCCTAAAGAATCTCAGAAGTAAACCTCTATTAATGAAAATAAAAACTGGACTAGCCTTCTCTATGTTAGCAGAAAGCCATACCGTTTCATCATTAACACTTCTCATGGGCATTTGATGTGACATATTATTAATTGAAGTAATAAATTTCTCTCTGAGCATTAGACAGTCCTGTGAACTGTGCTCGCTGCTCTCCCTTCGCAGTCAACATTCAGAAAGACCATTGTCCCGTTCTGTATCATATGAAGTTCTAGGAGGTAATTCTCTTCTATTTGAACACTTTCTCTAAAGGAAAAATACAGTTCCTCTTGCCATTGTCATACATAGAACCCAGCAAAAATTTCAACAAGGGAGAAAATACACTGTTCCCTTTCCATACTTTCACTCATGCCTACTGAGCAGAATTCAACTTGTACTTCCTCTTGAAAAATAAACCACAATAGCTTGTGGTTTAACCTAAATTTTAATTTATTTATTTCTTCGTAATTTTACATAGTAGTTGAAAAGTAGTGACATCTTTTTAATGAGACGTGCACAGCTTCATTTCTTTCTTGTTTTACAAAAACACGTGGTTGAGGTATAATTGAAATATAAAATCTGTACATATTCAGTGCGTGCACGGTTAAAAGTTTGGAAACAAGTATATGCCTGTGAAATTATCACCATAATTTCTTATGACTTCTACAATTCTCTACTTTTGATTATTTACTTTCAGTTATACCCTCTTAGCAAATTTTAAAGTTCAATACAGTATTGGTAACTATAGGCAGCTATTGGTTAAGATTGTCATTCTGGTGGCTTGGTATCTTCCTAGGGGATTAGTAAAGCACACTTCTATGTATGTCCAGGTATGCTATGGCGGTATGCTCTGGGTGCTATATAGAGCACCTGGCCCCTTTCTCTCAGCCACTGTACTGCTGCTTTGCTTCCTGGCTACCATGAAATAGACAATTTATTGTGCCCTATCTTTGTGCCCTGATATTCTGCCTTGGCCAGCAGACCACAGAGTCAACTTTTGAAACCATGAGTCAAAGAAACCTCTCCTCTTTAAGTTGTGGGTGTTGAATACTCTGACTCAATAGTAAGAAAGGTAATTAATACATAAAATTGGTACCAGAGAACAGGATAGTAGCTGTGGCTATACCTGACTATGTGGTTCACATGTCTTTGGAATTGGTTTGTGGGAAGAGTTAAATTTTGGAGATGTGCTTTAGAGAGGGCCTACAATGCTAAAAGCAGAGCTGGGTGGGAAATTCTGGTTAGAGCTCAGAAGACCAAAATGCTGACAGAAATTCAAATAATAAAGGGCAGGCATGTGAGATATCAGATGGGGAGTCTTTTAGAAAATAAATGAGAGACCATGCATGTTAGATTCCAGCAAAGAACTTGTCTATATTTTGCTCACATCCTCAGTCCTCACAAAAGCTAAATGTAGGAATGGTGACTAATTGACCTGGTGGAAGAAACACCAGGGCAGCCCAATATTCAGGCTGTGGCATTGATATTACTGGCTTTTAACCAGATTTATAGTGAGAATCAGAATCAAAAAGCATAGCAGAACAATTTGAAAAATTTCAATTGTGATTTGAAGAAGCCACATGTGAAGTTGGAGCCAAAGGAAGTGTGGTTGCTCTTTAGCATTATGAAATAATACAAATTGGGTCCCTGGGATTTGTCTTTTCATGCTCAGGCATCCAAACACTCAAAGGCACTACTGCTATCACTATCTAAGCGGGTATGGCTTCTCTTCCAGCTAACGGCCGACCTGGTTGTTCAGGCATTCAGAATATAGGAGCTGTGTGGTCATGGAGGCTTCTACCCAGG